AGTCCTTCCTTGGTCGCAGTACAAAGGGCGATATACTCTGCTTCAGCCGAGGATAGTGCGATTAACTCCTGCTTGTTCGACTGCCAGGAGATAGTTCCGATGGGTTCTAGTCAATAGATGTAGCCCGTCCTAGATCGTCGATTTTCCCTATCTCCCGCGTGGTCGGCGTCGACGTATCCGAGTAGTCGTACGGACGGTGTTGTCGCTTTGCTGTAGGTAAGCCCGATCGTCGGCGTGGAGACGAAGTAGAGTAGTGCCCGGTTGAGCTCCTCGAGATCTTCCTGTTCCGGTTGCTTCAGATGCGTCGCCAGTTGACTCGCACTATAGGACAGGTCGGGTCGGCAGGTTACTGCTGCGAATAGTAGGCAGCCGAGCTTCTGTTGATACTCCTGGATTTGCTTCGCGGGGAGTTTTGCGGAGGTGTTGTTGTTGTTCCCGTAGTGGTAGGGAGTTGGCACAGTAGTCGGTGTTAGAGCGAATTTCTTCGCGACGGTGCCTGAGTACTTTCCAGCGTGTAGGTAGAATGCCGTGTCGTTTTCGTCGACATTCAGTCCTAGGTACTGGGTCACTTCGTCGGACACCGTGAGTGTTAAGTCTTCTTTCAGCTCCCGTTCGAACCAGGTGGCGATGTCGGTAGTGGAGCCGATGTAGAGCAGGTCGTCGACGTAGACGATGAGTAGGATATACTCTCTTCCCTTCTGCAGTCGGTACATTCCTTGGTCATGCGGCAGCTGTAGGAATCCGATTTTTGCGAGACGGCCGTGGAGATGCTGCTGCCAGAGCCGCGGGGCTTGCTTGATCCCGTATAGGGATTTTGTCAGTTGGCATACTTTCGTGGGGTCGTCGATGAATCCGTGGGGTTGTTCGACGAAAATCTCGGCGTCCACAGGTGCGTATAGGAACGCATTCGCGACGTCGATTTGGCGTAGTGGTAATGTCTTCGTGGCCGCGACGGCGAGTAGGATGCGTAATGAGGTGTGACGGGAGACTAGAGCGAAGGTTTCTGTGTAGTCGGTCCCGTATCGTTGATCGAAGCCTCGTACGACCCATCGAGCTTTGAATCGTTCGATGGAGCCGTCTGAGTTGGTCTTAATGCGGTACACCCATTTCCCCGAGAAGACGTTTTTCCCGTTGATGCTTGTTGCAGGTACCAGTTTCCATGTTTTCCGGTCTTGCAGAGCCTTTAACTCCTTTTCCATCGCTTCCTTCCATTTCGCCTTATATTCCCCCCCCAGAGCCTGCGACAGGGTCGAAGGCTCTCGCGGAGAAGGCGGCGGCGGATGCTGGACGGAGACCCAGAGGCCTAGAATCTGCAGTCCCGTGGGTGTGTGTCGAGGGGAATTTTCATTCCCGGAATAAGCTGCTTCGTCACCGTCTTCTTGGTCAGGTAAGAAGTTGGGACCGATGCATTCTGAAACATTTGTGTCGACTTGGTGGGGTGTAATGTAACCTTGGTCAGCGAAGTGGTAAAAGGTGTCGAGGTTGTTGCTATCGAGAGGATTGTCTTCGTCGAGTGGAACAGGTACGGAACAGAATGGGAGTGGTCCGGCAGCTTCCGAGGCTTCAGGTACGTCTTCTTCTGCCGCGTCAGCTTCGGTAGCACGGTCGGCGAAGGAACGAAGTCCGGAGAAGCCGTCGGTGGGGTCTTGTGTGTTGGCAATGTTGTCCAGGTAATGCTGCAGCGTCAGTCGCTCGTAGAAGATAACATCACGTGATGCCACGGTATTTTTGTCTTGTATGTCGAGAATTTTCCAGGCGTGAAAATGTTTGGCGATGCCGAGGTGTAGTCCCCACCGAGCTCGTTGTGTGAAGCGTCCTGCTCGGGCTGTGTGGGGTCTGTACTGTACCATGCAGCCGAAAACTCAGAGTAATTTTGTGATGCCCCTTTTTCTTGTCCACAACAGGTGCGGTGATGCGTTGTTGCGAAGCGATGACGAGGACAGCAGGTTGTGCAGGTGAACTGCATGTGTCATTGCGTCTGGCCACAGTGTGGTGGGCACCCTCATCCCCAGAAGCAGTTTTCGCATCGTCGTCTGCAAGGTCCGGTTCATGCGTTCTGCGACTCCCTGCTGCTGGTGAGCATAGGGCAGAGACACCAGGCGTCTGATTCCTCTTTCCGCCAGATAGGTCCTGAAGCATTGTGACTGGTATTCCAGTGCACCGTCTGACTGGAAGCTCTTGAGCTTGGTTCCTGATTCTCGTTCGGCGATGGGAAGCCATGTTGTGAAGGCGTCGAAAGCTTGATCGCGCGTCTTGAGATTGAAGTGCCAGACGTATCTGGTTGCTGCGTCGATGAACGTGATGACGTAGTTGAAGTCGGCTTCGGTGTCTTCTCGAGGCATGTTTAAAATATCGCTGTAGACTTTTTCCATCGGAGCGTATGTAGGTGCGCTTGGGTTGTGATGAGATGGAAAAGGCTGATGGGGAAGATCTGCTTCGGGGCACGTGAAGCACCGTGCTCGTGGTTGTCGAAGTTCTTGGCCGCTCGTCGTTGGGAGGGCGTTGCGTTCTAACACCTCTGCTTGGATTGTTTGTAGTATCGTGCTGTTTGCAGGATGCCCGAGGCGTTGGTGCCAGATGTCGTCGGAAGCGCGATGACCCGGCGAGCGGTGGTATATGTCGGCGTTGGAGAAGAACGCGACGACTGTGGCTGGACTTCGACAAACTTCTCGTTGGATGGGCATAAGTTGGTCTGCTTCGGTTGGCGGTCCTCGGATCGCCGGTGGTGGGACTCGGCTGGGTCCTGCTGCTGCTACTGCAGGTGATGGTTTGGTTGGGATACTCGCGGGTACTTGTCTTTCTTGTCTGATGACTGCTAATGCTCGTGTTCTTTCTGCTGCAGGTATGGTGTTGGAGTGCCAGAAGCCGTCACTGTCGAATTCTGGATCAAGATCCGGCGGGTGTGTCCAGGCGGCGAATGATATGATGCCGTCGCTGTCGGCAGTACCGCGGTCGGGGACGAAGTCCAACACGAAGACGCCGGATTTCAGGAGGGCACGACCGATGAAGAGGCCACCCTTCCCGTGGTATAGCCGAAACTCGTTGGAGTAGGAGTCGCACTCCAGGTGAATCCCCTTGGCCATTAGTTGGCTTACGCTTAGTAGGTTGTATCCCAGGTTGTCGACAATGAGGACTTTGTTGAGCTGAAGTATGACGTTTGTCTCCATGGATTGTAACTGAACCACGCCTTGTCTGTTTGTCTTCAGATTTTCGTTGTTGGCGACGGTGATGACGACGTCGCGGTTGAGGCGTTTCTCCTGTTGCACGAATCGTCCCGAAGAGCACATGTGTTGCCCGCAGCAGCTGTCCAAGAACCAGGTGTTTCGCCCGGTGGGTTCGGCGTTGGTGACCGCAGCATATGTTGGATTGACTTGAAGGCCTTGTGAGCGCGGTGGCGGGAGCTCTTCTTCGTCTGGCGCGTAAGTGGGTGGTGATCCGGGTGCGCAGTTGTCAATGTGTACCATGCAATTGATAATGTTTGGTGTCTGTTGTGCAGATGTTGAAGAGCGTCTTGGGGGACTTGCTTGAGTGGAAGCGACTTGTGGGTCTGCTGGACGGTGAACGCGAGGGCGGTTGCAGTTGACCTTGGAGTGCCCGGAAGTCTGGCAGAACGGCGGCACGAAGGTAAATCCCCTGTTGTCGCGTTCTTGCTTGCCGCGTCGATTGTAGTTGTTGTCGTTTCTTCGTTGAGTGTAGAAGACTAACTGTTGCTGCTTCCTTGGTTGTCTTTCTTCGAACAGGTCCATCTCCTGTTGTTCAGCGTGAAGCTCAGCGCAGAGGTGCATCTCCGAAATCCTTCCGTGGGCGCGAAGAAGCGATCGTGTGGTTCTCCATTCTGGCCCGAGCCCGGCAAGGACAAGTGTCACGAAGCTTTCTTCAGTGATTGTTCCTCCGCACCGAAGCAGGCGGTCGCGGAGGGTCTGGCAGCGACTCATATACTGCATCGCCTTTTCCCCGGTCTTCATTTGTATTGTTGTCAGTTGTTGCATGAGTCTGCTTTGTGTCACGCTGTCGTTTGCTTGGTAGAGGCACTTGAGATGGTGCCATGCGAGTTCCGCGGAGTTTCCATAGCTCCTGTATGTTCTGATGCTCTGCTGTTCTTGTGGTGACAGGTTTCTCAGGAGAACCGTATACGCCAGCAGCGACTGATACGTGAAGATTTCTTGTTCCTTTCCAGTGCCGTTGCTTGGGAATGGCAGGGACCCGTTGAAGTATCCCAGAAGGTGCGCAGCCTCCATCAGCAGCTCGAACTCGAAGCTCCAGGTAATGAAGTCGTGTCCGTTGAACGGTGAGGATGTCTGTAGTTTAATCACGTGTGAAAACTGCGCCTGGAGACTTAAGATTTCGTTTGGTGTTTGTTGTGATGCAGCTGCTGTTGGTTGGGCACGGGGCGGCATGAACTCGAACGTCCCCGGTGAAGAGTGATAAGGCGCAAAGGTAGGCGCTTGATTGTGTCGCCCAAACGATGAGTTGTCGAGGCTCATCGGCGCTAATCCCATGTTTCCTCCATTGCTCTGTGTTGAATGCGCAGGTGTCCTTGTCTGCTGCTGCTGGTCGAAGTGCGACATGAAGCTGAAGAACCTTTCCATAAGGTTGGGGTCCACGCTTGAAGAGGGAGATGGAGTCACCATCTCTGGTACTCTTCCCGTTGTTTCTTGAGCAGTCCCGGTCTCTGTCTGCAGTCCTGAGGTGTGCAGACCAGAGTTGCCGTGTTGAGTTTCTTGGCCGCTGGGTGAGCCCGTAGAGACTTTCTTGCCCTTGCTGTCCATGTCTTGTGATCAATGAAGTCGTTGAATTGAGTTGAGTTGCAGGTTGATGGAGCGCAGTTGCTGGGAGTTTGGTCTCTGACCAGCTCTCATACCATATTGGTCTGAGAAAAAGGGGCCTTAGGATCTTTTCAGAGACTAAGTCCCAGCTGTGGAGATTTGAGACTTTGAGTAGTGCAGCGAAAGTTGAGACGGTTGAACCCTTGTACTAGTATGTGAGAACAAGTGATTAATGAAAGAAACAAGCATACAGCAATATATAGAGGATAAGAAAGCAGTTGTAGAATACAGTTACAGGAACGGTTTATCGAGTCGCACAGCGACTCGATTGCCGCTTCGGTTACCATCCGTGATGTTGTAACGGTCAGTCGTAACCTCCAGTTGCGACCTTTCGAGTCTCTTCGCATTCTTTGTCCACCCCCTCGTGCAACCTCCGTTGACTCGCGTGCTCCCCTGTAATCTTCCTCGAGTACAGTGTTATACTTCAGAAACGCTTAAGTCCTTTGAGATATTTCCAACAGAATGAACAGAAGGGGGGATGGGACGGTTTGGCTCTTTGTTAGGGGGCGAGTGTTGTAAAAACACCCTGATGCTCCACCTGCTGGGTAAGTGCTGTGCTGTACAGACTTCTGCAAGGCATTTCCATAACTCTTTTCCGTATAAAATGAAGCCGGTGGCGGTCCACCCTTTCATCCACAAAAGAACTCCCGGTAAACAGCATCGAGCGACGGGTCGGCTTCCATCATGCGCCGCAGCAGCAGCTGCTGGGCCCCCCGTGTGCTCAGCTTCCAGGGGTGCAGGGCCGGTATATCTGTGGAGTAATAGTCATTGGTGTGGTTCCTCTTGTCGCCCCACAGATACTTCATGCGGTCGAGCACTGGGTCCCATTCTGGGAAGGGCTCCACACAAAGCAGCATGTTGCCGATGGCCACCTGGAAGGGAGGGAGATGGGGATGGAGGAAGATGGGAAGGGGACGGGAGACGGGAAGAGGACGGGAGATGGGAAGGGGACGGGAGATGGGAAGAGGACGGGAGATGGGAAGGGGACGGAAGATGGGAAGGGGACGGGAGATGGGAAGGGGACGGGAGATGGGAAGGGGACGGGAAATGGGAAGGGGACGGGAGATGGGAAGGGGACGGGAGATGGGAAGGGGACGGGAAATGGGAAGGGGACAGGAGATGGGGATGGGAGCACGCAGAAGCATGTTGGCAATGGCCACCAGAAATGTGGAGACACGGGATCGATAACACCAGACCAGAAGCACAGTGGAATGCATGTGAGGAGTACGTGGGCAGCAATGCTTGGCAGTAACACTGTGGCTGCCATCCCACCTCCTCAGACTGCCATCCCACCTCAGACTGCCATCCCACCTTGGACAGCGAATAAAGGGCCATGTAGCTCTCACCTCAGAGTGCCTCTCACCTCAGAGTACTTCTCACTTCAGAGATCCTCTCACCTCAGGGGTGCACAGGTCTCACCTCAGAATGCACCCTACTGAAGGCCGGCAACAGATACTCCGCAATGAGCTGAGCATGGCGCATGGGGATGTACGCCAGGTCCGCTATCCTCTTGGTGTACATCCTCTTGTGCGGCCGCGTTGCCTTCTTGAACCGCCGCTTCATGAACGGCGCCAGTCTGGCGATCGCCCCTCGCACCTCGCGTCTTATTGCGGCGCTGCAGGCCCAATCGCGGTTGTTGGGGATGCAAGGGCCCCAAAGGGAGAATGATACCCAGCGGAAGGTGGCTGCTCGGCTGTTGACGAACCAGATGCGCGACTGACAGGGGGGCAGAGAGGGGGGAAGGGGAGGGGAGGGGAGGGGAGGGGGGGAAGGGGAGGGGGCTTAGTCGATTCATAGAGCATGTTGGGGAGAGAAGGGCCTGAGGGGGAGAATGATGCCCAGCCGTAGGTGGCTGCTGGGCTGTTGAGGAACCAGATGCATGACTGACAGGGGGGGAGAGGGGGGAGGGGGAGAGAGGGGGAAGGGGATGGGGGTGGGGGAGGGGGAGAGAGGGGGGAGGCGACTCATAGGGTATGCTGGGGATGGAACGGCTCCAGGGGGAGAATCATACCCAGCGGTAGGTTGTTGCAGGGTTGCTGGGGAACCAGATGCGTGACTGACAAGGGGGGGGAGGGCGCATCAGGGGAGGGGGGGGGGTCACATTTGAGTCAGCTCAAAAGCCCGTGTTGGGGAGGGGAGGGCATGTGAGGGCGTGCTGGGAATGAATGAGTTGACCGTGGAGATTGGTGCCCAGCAGTGGGTGAGGAATGGATTCTTGGGGAAGCAGATGCGTGACTGACAGGGGCAGAGAGAGAGGGGGAGCAGGACGACTTGAGAGTTGACTCAAAAGGGCGACTGAGAGGGGGGAGAGACAGGGAGAGAGGGGGGGACGGGGGGGGGCGGGGGGAAGAAGGGACAAAAAGGGGTTGGGGGATGGCGGCTGGAAAATGGGGGAAGAGAGCTCAGGGAGGGGAGGAGAAAGGTGGAAAGAAAGGATAAGGAAACGGGAAGCGAACAGCGAGCAGGAAGGAAAGGAGGCAATAGCGGCAAACTACCAATGGAATCTGATGAGCCGCTATTGCCCCCTATCCCTACTGCCTACCAACTGAATCTGATGAGCCAGCATTGCTGCCATGGTCAATCACCAGGAAAAAAACTCACAAACCTCCACCAAGCACTGCTGTCATGTGCAGGCAACACACCCCCAACATCATCAACCCTCCAGTCAGCTTCTGCACCCCGTTCCCATGCCCCCCCCTACTCCCCGACCCCTTCTTGGTCCCCTCCCCACCAATCGTTGCCCTCCAAGCATCAACTGGAAACATACCAAGCGTATTTGGAAACAAAACGCCCTTCCCGCCCCCCCCCCCCTCCCCCTCCCCCTCCCCCTCCCCCTCCCCTGCACCTTATTTGCTGCAGCAAGGTTCCAGTAGTTGAGGATGACGTCATCGTTGGACCAGAGCACCCCTGCAGCGGTGGGGTAGCGCTCAAACACGTCCGCCAGCGTCGCGTGCGCCACGTACCACGGCGTGCGCTCCCTGCTGCTGCTGTCATTGCCATTGGTGGCATTCCCTTTGCCACTAGAAATGCTGACGCCAGGCACTCTCCGCAGCTGCATACTTCCCAAGGGGGCATGACCAGGGGGGGGGGGAGAGGGGAAGGGGGGGGGACGATGGGAGAACAGGAGACGGAGAAAGGAGATGAGGAGATGGCATGGGTATGTTGGATGTGTTTTAAGTCGAACCAAGATGAGACGCGATGGGAGAATGGATGGAGAGGGCAGAAAACTGAGATGGGTGATGTGAGTGCTATGGTGGACGCCACTGGCGTAGAGGGCAGGAGGATGTCTACGCAAGAGCGTAGACTACAATACTGCTCCTGCTGCTGCTGCTATGGAGCAAAATGCGCCATCCCACTCCGCCATCCCACTCCGCCATCCCACTCCGCCATAACACTCCGCCGTGCCACTCCGCCGTGCCACTCCGCCATACCACTCCGCCGTGCCACTCCGCCATGCCACCAACATGTCACAGCACATGTGGAAGCCCCACCTGCAGCACCCCCCGCTCGTGACTTCATCGGAAACATTCCGATGATACACCACCATGTCCGAGACGTGCACCTGTGCACGCCCTCACCTGAAGGAGCCTCACCTGCAGCACCAGCACGCCCACCTCTCGCCTGCAGCACGCGTCGCTCTCACCGGCAGCACGCCCAGCTCGGGAATGGCCTCGTCAGAGTACACCACAATGTCTTGGAATACGCGCCCGTACACGCGCCTTAGCAGCGTCACCGACGCGTTCACCAGCGGCGCGCGGTTGTACAGAATCGCCAGCACCACGCCTGCCAGCTGCTCTCGCCATACGCTCACGTTCGCGGGGGGGGCGGGGGAAGGCGCGGTCGGGGAACGTGGGGAGGAGGCGCAGCAGAGGGGATCCGGGTGCGCGCAGGGCGGGGGAGGGCTGGGCGCGGCGCAGTGGGGGGTAGCGGGGAATGGGGAGGGCTGGAGTGGGAGGGGTGGGGGGAAGGGGAGATGGCGTGGGGGAAGCAAGGAAGTGAGATGAGAACGGAGGGGTAGTGGAGGGGCGGACGGGAGGCAAGGATGAAATGGGGAGATGGGATGGCGGGGGGAAGGGGGGGGTGGGGAGGTTATATGGAGTGGGACGGTTGGGGGGGAGGAACGGGGGGAGGGGAGGAGAAGGAAGTGGAAGGAAGGGGAAGGGAGGGGAAGGAAGGGGGAGGAAGGGGAAGGAAGGGGGAGGAAGGGGAAGGAAGGGGAGGAAGGGGGTTGAAAGATGTGACACAAGCGGGGCGGAAGAGGGAGAAAGGGCCGGAAGAGGGGCATTGCACACCAACAGCCTGTTGGGGATGAAAAACGTGGGAATGGCGAATGACACGGTCTGACTCTGAGCCAGGTCACGGGGAGAGCGAGCTTACCAGGCTCATAAAGAGCCCACTAGACTCAGAAAGAGCTCACTAGGCTCAGAAAGAGCTCACTAGCAGCAGCGGCGCACCTGGAGAGGGTCGCAGTCGCGGGGACCGCGGAAGAGCAGGCGCGAGAAGAACGTATCTAGGAAGGGGCCTCCCGGCAGGAAGAGGTAGGCGACCAGCAGCACGAGAGTGAGGCAGCAGCCCCCCGCCACGCCGCCGTGCAGCTGGCGCGACGCCGCGATCCCCGCCGGAATAAGCGCCGATTTAGGGGGGCTTTTGAGAGAGGGCGAGTGGTGGGAAGGCGCAGCTGCGTGTGAAGTGGTTTTGGCATGATCCGATAACGAGTTGATATCGTGATTGTGATCGGCATGACGAGGGTCATCCTCGTAGCAGTAAGCACGGTGCTGCCATCTGACGACGGGCTGCCGCCACCACTCCAACGATCGCACGCGTGGTGAACCCTTCGCAGCGAACGGCACGCCGACCATGTGCCCGTTGGAATATTTGAGTAAATAATGGAACCGACGCCTGGGAACAGATCTTAGGGTAAAACTGTCTTCGAAGATTCATCTCAATCTGCTGTGGCTGTTGGAATTCAGATCGTTTTCAAAGTAGCAGACGTCGGAATGTTTTTCTGAGGGAAAGAAATAGCCGACGAGGAAAAGAAATCTGACGTCGGCTGCTTGATAACCCTCTTAGGGCGTGTCACCAAAAATCGTTTTGGCAAAATACCATAGTAAACCGCTCTAGAAATTTATTTGACCGTTACAGAACGCAAAACATCTTTGCGAACCGCAATCGGACGTACTTCAGTGACACACCCTTAGCATTAGAGAAGTACAGTAGCCACGATGACTGCCATGAGTGCTGTGCGCCGGAGCTGACATGACTTCTCCACACACATGACAAATGACAAATGACCTCAAGACATACTGGTACGTTTAGAAATCACTATACACTGTTAAATGTTCACAGTGGTCCAATGTGGTGAAACGCTGAAACCGCCCCTGACCTCGATCTATCCTACTGAACCGTGATCCGTGTACCGTAAAGGGTATCTGCCCTAAGGGTGTGTGTGACTTCACAGATGTAAGGAATTACGATTCCTTATTGGGACTCGCTTCATCTAGTACACGCGAACCTCTCAAGTTCGCAGGCTCGGCTCTTGGTTCTCACGCCAAACCAGCCCCCCTCGACCTATTCGGCCCCAACCTCATACCAAGTCGCCCCGAACCCATTTTGACCCCATCACCCTCGGGACTATCGAGGTCCAATCCTCGACATTCAACCCTGGTCAATCGCCCTATATATTCCCTAGGCCTCACTTCTATCTTCATTCTATAATCACGTTCCCCTTATTGAATACTGCGCTATACTCTGAGTTATAATTCATAACAGCAGGTATCAGAGCTATGTTCCTGCCAATTCGGTTTCCGGTAGGGGAGCAGACCTATCGGAGAAGGGGGCGGAAGGATGCTGATGGCGAGGGGACGTCGCGTAGATTAATTGCGCGGGCGTTTCCGATGCCGTCAGATCCTGTTCGATGGACGACTGGGATTAGCTGGTCCTCCCCTTCCCCGGTCATGGGCGGAATTATTTTCCGTCCTGGTGTGGCGACGTTTTTGCCGTGTTTTTCGGGTACGTTCGTTAGAGCTTTCTTAATTTTCGGGTGTTCTGACGGAGTATTCGGATCGGCCTCCGGAAAAAGCGAAGGCTTCGTCACGCGGAGACAAGTGCACATGAGTCCAAAAGCGGCCGGGAGTTGGTCGTCACGAGCGCAGGGGGGGGCGACAATGGCGGGACGTGCCATGAAGCTGCATGATGAAATGTAGCTGTGTCGTGGGTACCGGCGTTTCTGGCAGGCTAGTTGCAGGCGATGGACGAGACTTCAAAACTGTTTCGGCAATGGGCGGATCCGACAATTTCGGAACAACACGATTGCACGAGGCACGTGTGGATGTGCAGTTGTATAGGAGCAGCTGGGATTAACGACCTCGGCGCTATTCACCACGACGGCCATCTAGAGGTGATGACGCTGTGCTGGAGTGAGTGTACTCAGCAATGGCGACTTCCCGCGTAGGAAGGCGTATTTCGTGGACCAGCGATTCATACCCCCACGATCAACGGAAACGGAGTCCACCACCATTGGTGTGTACTATGTGTTTTTCCACCGGTCGCCGAAAGCGTTAACTGTCAGGATTTGTTGCAGTGGAAGAAGAACAACGGGAGTACTGAAGCAGTTAAAGGTTAGCGACGTTAGGGCTGCTGCTCGCTCAGCTACGTCGCCCGAATATCACCATCCCCACCAAGTAGCAGTGCCGACTTATTAATCGATGGCTCTTAGCTGAATAAGGTGGGTGGACCTGCGAACTACACTGCGCTGAAGGAGTATCCCCTAAATTTCAGGAGTTACTGTTGCAGCGAAGCTGAGGGTTTTACGTGGTGCAGCAAAAAGAGTGTCCGGAGTTTGCGGGTATAGTTCGACGAGTTTACGACGGAGGGGGGAGCTGTCCAGCGGTCAGTAGGCGATCTCGTTAAAGCTCCTCTGACTAGAAGTGTGCGCACTCCTATCTTTGCAGATTCTCTTAGTTATGGAGTTGGGTAACAAGTGGGCGGAGATCGACAGCGTATGATGCGTGTTGATTCTGATCGACGACCAAAACATCATGTCGAGGTGGTGGACTCCGGTGTTCCCTAAAATATAGGGTTCAGTTTATGCGTACAGCTGGTGGAGAAATCGTGGGGGCGCTGCTAAAGGATGCCGTGACACCTGCGTGTTTTTAAGGGTAGCCGTGAAGCGGAGTTGCGGTATTTTCGAAGTACCGGGTGGAGTTCCGACATTTTCGGTAGTTTTGAGGAGAAGTTAAAGGGCTTACAACTGGAGTTGTGCCCGCTATCTTCAGGGGTACCAACGGCATTGACCGATATTCTCGGAATATTTTGGGTGCATGGAAGAGGAAAAGCGTAGCAGCATTTTCGGCTCTTCCCTAATATTTCGACGTGTACGGACAAAGTAGTTGATGCAGTTGGTGGCCTTTGACCTTGAGTCCTGTTCGAGGATATTCACTAGAGTGGTTCAGTACAGGTTACAGGCCATTGCCATCGTCGTCAACTTCTCGCCACCACCCGCTACCACCTCCATTCTCAATTCGTCTGATTGTGTGCACACGACCCCATCTCGCCATCCGAATCGAAAACAACGGTATCGGATTTACAGAATTTTGGCCGCAGTACTGTTGGAGCTGTGTTCGGGCCAGCTCGCAAGTAGTGTTTGACTTCTGCAGATTTTTTTAGTTCGTGTGGGAGTCTTCTAGAGCAGTAGTTGCAGAATTTCAAGACCTTCGAAGCGGTTTACCCTAAAGACAATCTTTACTTGGAGCGGATTTTGGAGTTATCATCGTTGGGGTTCTTCAACAGCATCTTCGAACCTGAGTATGAGAATATTAAGCACCAGTGTGGGAATTTTATTTCGACTACCATGGAGCATTGGGTTTTCCTGGAGTTTTACTTGGGAAGTTGGGAGCTGTTTCTTCTTAGAGGGGGGGGGGAGAAGTGCAGTTGCGCTGCAGATTTCGTCTGACCTTTTAGGCGGGTTCCATCATCCATCTTCGAGCAACATTCGTTACCGTTACGCTTCCGCGTCTGATTTCGTCACTTCGTTGATGGAGTTCGCTGACTTTCGTGGGACACGGACACGTGATCTCGCATGTGACACGAACGACCTCGCGTTTGATGAGCGGGTTCTTCATTTCATTGACCATCACTTTATTCGCCAGTCATCATTTCAAGATATTCATCTGCCAGATGCCATCATCAATCGACAACTCGACAATTTTCACTGTTCACAATCTTTCGCTGGAGTATTTACCTTAGCCCGTTCGGTCAGCTGAAGAAGTCGATAATCTTCAACGACTCAGATCGATTACGATCGGTGCGACATGTCTCAGCCGTTCGATGGAGTTTTTCGTCATGAAGTGTCGTCATCATTGCGCTTATCAAGATTTGACGATCAGGATCCACCGCGATCGTTTTGACACTTTCTGACCTTCGATCGCAGCTCGACTTGAAGACCTGGTCAGGCCGGCATAATCATTATGCTCGTCACAGGGCTGAGGACCTACAGTCCCTTCGGGGATTTATTGAGATAAAAATGTTCGACCTCGAATAAAGGGAGTGCCTTCTTTTAGAAGGTGGGAGAGTATAAGGAATTACGATTCCTTACTGGGGCTCGCTCCAGCGAGTACACGCGAACCTCTCGGGTCCGCAGGCTCGGCTCTTGGTTCTCGCGCCAAACCAGCCCCCGCTGACCTATGCGGTCCCAACCTCATCCCAAGTCGCCCTGAATCCTTTTTGACCCCATCACCCTCGGGACTATCGAGCCCTTAACTGGTCCAACCCTTGACATTCAACCCTGGTCAATCGCCCTATATATTCTATAGGCCTAAGCTCTATCGTCATTCTGTAATCCCGTTCCCCTTATTGAATACAACGCTATACTCTGAGTTATAATTCATCACAACAAATTTGTCAAAGTTACTTACCAAAACCATTATGTAACATGGTTTTTCTATACTGCATCCAAAAAAAAAACCAACCACTCTTCAAGCTCCAACAAAAGGCTTGTTCAAACCCAAACTACGTGCCCTAAATGAAGTGAGTGCTGCGTGCTACGCGCACTCATGTACAGTGCTCTATGTCAACTTATATTTAGTTGTGTAGGCTTGGTAAGTTAGGTGTGCTACATATTGAATCCTACTATAGAGGGTACAACACCCTTCTTGTACCCCTCTCTCTTCTAGTCCACTACTCTTTTCTCTCATTGACTTTTCTTCCTAGCTAAAACCTCTCGACATTTCTCATGCCTAGCTAGATCCTAGGATTAACTTCTTTCAACATGGTTTCTGAGCAGGCCGATCCTGCTGAGCCTTGTCATCACGTTTCCGCAGCGTCCTCTTGCCCCTCTGGTAACATACGCGCCACCGTGGCGGTCACGTCGGCCTTTATGCGCTGCCATGGCAGCCCCGACGCGCTGCCATGGCGTCGACGCCACGCCGTGGCGGTGTCGTCGTGCTGCCGTGGCAGCGTCGACGCGCCAGCGCACGCATGGCAGCGGCCAGTGCACGGTTTTAGCACCGGCCAGCTCGCCCGCATGCCAGCCAACGCCGCTCCAGCCATGGCGCCTCGCTGAAGATTCGCCCCCCCTCCTCTGCATTTCCCCTCCTCCCCGCCGCAGCTGCTGGCGGTCTCGTGCCGTCCTCCCCCCCTGTCGTCACTGTGTGAGCCACGCTGCCGGGTGCCTTGGGCACCGCTGCCGCCGCCGGATGCGCCGCCGCCGCTGCTGCGACCCATCGCTGACGTCGCTGCCTCGATTGCCGAGTGGTGGACCCGCTGGTAGACGCCAGCTGCTGCAGTGCATGGGAGTGCAAGGGTTAGGGGGTGCTGCGTGTGTGGTGTGCTAGCGCCTACCAAGCCTAGGGGGTGTGTCAACTTATATATATATTGTTTATATATAGTTGTATGGGCTTGGTAGGTTAGTTGTGCTACAATAATGAATCCTAATGTAGAGGGTACAACACCCTTCTTGTACCCCTCTCTCTTCTTGTCCACT